AGTGACACTCAGACCACTCGTCTTTACGGGTCTCATCGTTTGGCTCGTGTTCCTATTTTCCACCCTCGGCATCAGCGCCTCCGACTTTTTTACACCCAATCTGGCTACTATTGCTCAGTTGCTGGGGTTGGATGAGAATGTCGCTGGAGTGACGTTTCTGGCGTTTGGGAATGGCAGCCCGGATGTCTTTTCGACATTTTCGGCCATGCGAGCACAGTCGGGGAGTCTGGCTATTGGTGAACTCGTCGGCGCAGCGTAAGTATTTTTCAATGTCTTGGGCGGGTTCTGATATAATTTCAGCTCGTTCATCGTCTCATGCGTGGTGGGCTCCATGTGTATCATCAAGCCTTTCCAACTCCATCGAGCAGGCTTCTTCTTTCGCGACGTCGGCTTCATGTTCGTCGCCGTCAGTCTGCTACTGGTGATACTGTGGGACGGAAAGATATATTTCTGGGAGGCGGGCACCATGATTGGGCTCTATATAATATACGCCCTGGTGGTCGTCGTCGGGGCGTGGTGGGAGAGGAGGCAGGATCGAAGGAGGGCCCACGAGGCCATGGTGCGATCCGAGTATGCTGACTCGGACATATCCAGCCCGCGATACCGAGATGATCGTGAGTAGTTTTTTTCATCGCGGTGGATTAAACTTGAGCTATTCCAGCGGTATCCGCGCCGACACCAGCTCCGCAGCTGGCAATGCTGGCTCCTTCGCCGGTGCGGGCTCGCGCTATTTCAGCTCCTGGACCGCCTCCGAGGCTTCAGACGGATCTTCCTCGACGTCCTCTGTCGCGAACTCCCTCCCCTGGTCCGATGCCCTCTTTTTCCCTTCTGGGCGCCTTGGAGTTTCGTCAGGTCGTAGCCTCTTTGCAGCACGAAGCTGCGGGATCGTCTCTGAATGTCTTTGACGGCCCGTTCACGCCGTATGCGGGAGGTCACTATAATTCCTTGCGAAGGCCGCGGACTCTCAGCCGCGAGACGAATCCTTGGGATGTTGCCCTTAACGAGCGCTCCACTCCTCAATTCGTCGTCACGCCCGTATTGAACCCGACGGATGAACCCGAGAGCTATATGCACGCCAGCATCGGTTCTATTCCCTCCATCTCACGAACACCTGCCTCCCCGACCATTTCCGATGGCGACACCGAGTCCCAGACTTATCAGCCCCCGACGCGACGCCAACGCGTACTTGGTGTCCTTTCGGAAGTGTACTACACCCTGTTCCCAGCCCTTCATCGCTTTACAAGCAAAACGGTGCTTGGGCAGATTGCCTCTGTGTTCGCTGCCCCGGCCGTGATGCTGTTGACTCTTACTCTACCCGTCGTTGTCACGCCGTATCAGTCTGCTCATTTGTCCCGAGAAAAGACAACCGGCGAGGAACCCAATCTCATCGACTTTGAGGAAGAGGGCATTGAGCGGATTCTGATTGCGGAAGAAGAGGTCGAGGAGGAGATGCACGGGTTTTCCTACAACAAGTGGCTCACCACTGCTCAGTGCACGTTCGGTCCGTTGTTTTGTGCTGCCGTGTTGTCGAGTGGGAACTTGTGGGCGATGCTTTCTGCTGGGATTGCTGGTGTTGCTCTGTCTGTTCTTGTGGTCTTGTTCGGCGACGATGGCGAGCAACCCACGTTCCGCATGGCCCGTTGCTCCATGGGTTTCTTTGTTGCGATCGTTTGGATTATGGCGATTGCGGATGAAGTGGTGCAAGTGCTGCAGGTGCGTGCTGAACAGTCTTGTAGACTGGTTCTGACTTTTCCCAGACTTTTGGGTTCATATTCGGGCTGTCTGACGCGATTATCGGTCTGACGATATTTGCGGTGGGCAACTCTCTCGCCGATCTCGTGGCCAATATGAGTGTTGCTGTATTCGCACCCATAATGGGCTTCTCTGCCTGCTTTGGAGGGCCTATGCTCAACATCCTACTTGGCGTAGGCATTTCAGGCACCTACATAACACAACAGACGTCTCAGCCGTACGAGATCCATTTCGGAAACACGCTGCTGGTCAGTACGGTTGGATTGCTCATTCTGTTGGCAGCCACGCTCGCGGTTGTACCACTAAATAAATACTCATTGACACGGACATGGGGCATAATTCTGGTGCTCTCGTATGCGGTGACGATGACTGTGAATGTCATTGTCGAGATTAACAGCTAGCTGTATTGTACTAATGTAACATGGACATTTGTGCTTTCGAAGGCAGCGGAAGGTGTCCGAACTTTTGCCGGCTAATACGTCACAACACGATCTCCAGCTTTACCTATCACTGCCATGTCTGACGAAACCCCACCAGAAATTCAGATAAATGTCAAGGGTATGTGCTCCCTGTCGGGCACCACGACGTGCTTAGCTTAGCTCCAGGCCCCAGCGAATTGAAGCTGCAGATCACCATTTCCACAGACAAGACCGTGCTTGAGCTCAAGCAGGCTATCGCGGAGAAATCGGACGTCGAGGCTGACCGGCAACGCCTTATATACTCTGGTGGGTGTTCAGCGTTTCTCGTACCGCGTTCTGCAGCTGAGATTATGCCCAGGGCGAGTCTTGAAGGTGCGTTTTGCGCTGCGAAATGGGTGTGCGGCGCGCTTACGAATCTCGCAAGGATGAGGATCTGCTTTCAGTTTACAAGATTCAGTCGTCCCACACGATTCATATGGTCAAGGGCGCTGTGCGTTCGGGGGCTGCGTCGACTTCACAATCCGCCCCGCCACAACAGCTTCCTACGATGCAAGCCGGCCAAAACCCGCACGATCCTCTGACGCTACTTAATAGCCACCAGGGCTTTGGCGCCATGGCCGGTTTGAATCCTTTTGCAGATATGGGCCTCAATCCGAATGATCCCAATATGGTGCGTTTCCAGCTTAAAGAAGCGTCAATTACCAACGCGTCGTAGTTGCAAGGCATGCTGAACAATCCCCAATTCCTCCAACAAATGTCCACCATGATGTCTAACCCTCAAATCATGGACCAGATTATAGCGTCCAACCCACAAATGGCGGGGATGGGGCCGGAGGCTCGTGCTTTGATGCAGAGCGACCATTTCAGACAGATGGTGTCGAGCCCAGAGAACTTGCAGCGCATGCTTCAGATGGCTTCCGCGTTCGGTGGCGGTGGCCTGGGAGGCGCTGGAGCTGCATTCCCTGCCCCTGGTATCCCTGGTGCCACACCGTCTACCACTACGCCTGCAGCTGCTCAACCACCGGCCGCGTTCCCTAACCTCTTTGGTGCTGGAGCTCGCCCGCCCGCGTTCGATCCGGCTCTTCTTGCACAACTGATGGGTGGAGGAGCGCCCCCGTTGGCTTCGACACCGCCTGCTGCTGGTACGGCCCCACGTGCTCCTGGAATGGACCCTGCGATGCTGTACCAACTTCTTGGTGGCGGCGGAGCTCCCCCTCCACCTGCCGATGCGCGCCCTCCGGAGGAGAGATTCCAGGTCCAGTTGCAGCAACTGCAGGACATGGGTTTTACGAACGCATCGCAGAACGTAAGAGCTTTGCTCGCCACAGGTGGCAATGTTCACTCGGCCATCGAGTACATCTTGGGCGGTGGAGGACTACTGTAAATGTCGGCCGTCGAGTACATCTTGGACGGTGGAGGACTACTGTAAATGTAGACCATCTTGAATGTATTTTATTGTAATCAGCATGGCTCTCCCAACCGACCATCAACACCTCTTCCAAGCACTCTTTCCCTTGCTCTACACGTTCTGGCAGGACACTCACTTGAATCCCGAGGAGCTTCGCAATGCGCGTACGCTTCGCCTGCGACACGTCCCTGTCCAGCCTCTGGGTTGCTGGCCTTTTAGACGTGATGTGGCTGCAGCAGTCCAGCTTAGCGACAAGGACCAAACTGAGCTTCTACGTGCACTCGAACCCTACGCAACTCCTCAGCTGCTCAGAACCCTCCCGAGGTACATGGCGGCGGTGAACCGCATCGTCGACGTCTATTGTGCGAGCGGGAGGACTCGCTATGCCGTCGATGTCTCAAAGTATGGCAAGGACTCTGAGGAATTCAATATGCTCGTCTCCAACATGCGCTCGCTCAGGCTCTCTCCCGGCTCGTCCGACTTTACGCCCTGCGATGCGTTTGACTTTGCAATAGAACTGCTGGCGTACAATGACTGCTTCGACGCCATCTTGCATCCCGACTTGTGGGAGGAAGAAAACGCCAAGGCAGCCGAGAGAGCACGCAGCGTTGACTGGGACAAGTACGAGTATGCAGCCATCTTGGTTCCTGGACAAGGGCCGGAATTCCCTCGTATCAAGGTGTCGCCATTGGCGCAACTCAAGATGAGGCTGGCTGTTGCGGAGCTTCAAAAGGGCAGAGCGCCCTTTGTCGTCGTCTCTGGCGGCACCGTGCACCCAGCGCACACGGCTGTCAACGAGGCGGTCGAGATGGGCATTTGGCTCACTGACTCTCGCAAGCTCAACCTTGACCGCGGTCAAGTCGTTCTCGAGCCATATTCGAGGCACACGACGACTAATTTGCGCAACACGGCGCGTGTGGTCAAAAGACTGGGAGCACCCGAGGGTAAACCTATCCTCATTGTTTCAGGCGAGGAACAGATAAGAGATATTCTGGGACCGATGCAGCGGAGGGCGCAGGTAGAGTTGACGCATGTCCTTGGGACGATAATGCCTGGGTCCACTGACTTCACTGCGGTGTACATACCTTCGCCGCTGTGCGAGATTGTCGACCCAATGGACCCGAGGGATCCGTGAGTTAGAAGAGGTGTCACTGGTCTTTCTTTCACCAAGTTGCTGCAGAAAAGGCGGATACAAGATGGAGGGGAGTGTGCTCGAGCCCTCGCTCCAATCGGGAGTGAATAGTCCCAGTACCAAGTAGTTCTATTGTAAGAGAGAAGCGTGGTCGTACTTGCGATGACCGCAGAGAGCGAAATTCTTATATGTACAAGGCTGCGAAAGTTGAACCAATGCGAAACAACTGGCCATCATTTTGATCAGATCTCCCGGTATATGGCTGCCAGATTTTGGCTCTTCCAACGATCCGACCTTAGCTCAGTTGGAAGAGCATCAGACTGTAAATGGTTGAATTATCTGGGTGTCGTGCGTTCGATCCGCACAGGTCGGACTCTTTTTCCACCTTTAAAATACACTGGGACCTTTGGATAGCCGTCTGAGGGTGCAGGAACCTTGTTCCTGCTTGCAAATTATTTTTACAAGACTTTGATCCCTGGTTTGACCTCAGGCTGGGTCAAAATGTAAGAAGAGATACCTGGGCAGGAATTCCAGATTGAAACAGTGACCCAGTGTTGTATTCCCAATACACAGTACCCCGATCTACCACTACTACTGAGAACCTACCAGGCAATAAGTCCTGCTGGTCTCTTCCCTTTCTCAGGTTTCGGTAATTTGCTCGACCGAAGGCTACTGGTAAACATGTGCGACCCACGGAGTCTGAATCCCAAGCTCAGCTCAGGAAAAGGCACTCAAGCGCTTCATGTTTGGAGAAAATGAGAAAGGAATGCATTTGAAAATTAGCAGAAACTCCTTGTAAATCCAGATAGATGTGTGGTCGAGAAAATGTAGTGTAAGGAAAGTCGTTTATAGGTAGTCATAAAGATCATCACATCACAACACACCACTTGCCCTTCTTTTCCTCGCTCTGCTCTTCGGCCGCGAGAGATGGGGATGGGACAGGCGGCGGGGAGGGCTTGGAAGGAGTAAATTCGCCTTGAGCCACATCCAAGGAAGGTCTTTCAAGAGGCACCTTGGAAAACCATCCTCCGGGGAAAAAGATGGACGACGCGGTGGATTCCAGTCGCGAACGAGGAGACACTGGAGGCAGATCATCCACTTCCTCAGCGTCAGCAGACCTACAAAGATATCAGTAATACTTCGCTAATGCACTCCAGACACTCACGGGATCTCGAGGGTGGAGGGGAAGGGTCGCAACTCGGGAAGGGGGACGGGAGGAGCAATTGGGGTCGCATCATTGACCGGAGTATCAGCGGGAGGTTCAACGCTGACGGAAACCGACTCCTCGTCAACTGGCGGCTTGACGAAAGGTTCCCCGCTCGATGCAGGAGTTTCCTCTGCAACCGACTCGTCCGCTTGCGCGGGAGCCGGGATTTCTTTGGCCTGTTCAGCTTCCTCCCGCTTGGAGTGTTCTGCCGTTGTCGCGATGGCCGTCTCGGCAATGACCGCCGTCGCCGCAACTAATCACATCTCAACGAACGTTAAGTAGACATCTAAATAGATACGCACCAGCAGCAACTCCAGCAGCTACGAGGGGGAAAGCGGATGTGTCCTCAGCAGGAGGCGCCGTGGCCTCAACCGGAGGTGGTAAAACGGGCAGTTCGGCCGCGTCCAATTCCTCGGTGGTCGGTATCCCTGGGCCTTGAGTTGTGACGCTGTACGACGGAGTCCAAGGCGATTTCGGTCGTTCTGGCTCTGGTTCCTGCGGAGACAACTAGTCCAAGTTGGAATGAGTTCACCAAGGACAGAAAATATAACACACCGAGTCAGCGGGAGCCTTGTCTTCCAGAACGATAGCTGGGGCCTCTACCAAAGTCTCGGTCGGAGCCTGTTGCTCCTCGATGTCCGCTGCTACTGCCTCGGTAGCGGGAGGTGGCAAGGTAGACAAGTCGGCCGCCTCCAACTCCTCAGCAGTCGGTATTCCTGGACCTTGAGTTGTAACGCTGTACGACGGAGTCCAGGGTGATTTTGGACGCTCAATCTCCGGCTCGCGAGGAGCCAACAACTGAAATGCATTCAATCGAGGTAAGTGTAGAATCGGATGAAACGCACTTGGGGTTCTTCCGCAACTCCCTCGGCTTCAACAACTGCGCCCGCCGCCAACGCCTCGAGGGTGGTGGATTCAGAGCTCTCCGGCTCAACAATATCTTGGGTGACAGAGTCTTCGCTGGCGGCAATCTCCTCAAGAGTCGAAGCCTCCTGAGCAGATGTCGCTTCCGGGATGACGACTTCGGTCGCACCCCCAGAAGGTTCGGGAACGGTGTCAACAAGCGGCTCCTCAGTAGCCACCTCAACGTCGACCTCGGTCGCTGCTGATTCGGTAACAGCATCATCAAGCATTTTCTCAGTCGTCTCCGCGATTTGCTCCTGAGAATGGTTGAGCACAACACAGGGAAAGATAAAATGACAAACCTGGGGAACATCACCAAGGACGCCAGACTCGATCAAAGCCGCGACAACGGCTTCGCTACCAGGATCCGGAGAATCGTTCTCAACGTCGGGATCTTGGAGGGTTGCAGGATCAACAATGACTCCAGATTCGATCAGCGAAGCCACAGGTGAAGAGCTGGGCTCAGCCTCCGATACCTCGCCGTCGATACTGACCGCCTCGCTAACAGGCTCTTGAGGGACCAAATCGACAGGAGTTGAAAGCGGACTTCCTTGAACCACCACGGAATACGATGGGGTCCATGGGCGAGGAGGATCAGAGGAGGGTGCCGTCTCGGCGTCGACGGATGTCACGGTGACAGTTGGCTCAGGCTCAGAGGTGTCAGCGATTATCTGAACTGGAGGTGGTAAAACGGGCAAGTCGGCAACCTCCAACTCCTCGGCCGTGGGTATTCCTGGTCCTTGAGTTGTGACACTGTACGAGGGAGTCCAGGGTGACTTGGGACGCTCAATCTCCCCTGCGGGAACGGCCAATGACTGAATCACAATTGGTCAGAAATAGTCGGTAGAGGATATAAACGACGTACCTCGTCGGTGAGTTCTTCGGGGGCATATTCTGGCGTCTCCACCTCAACGGATGTCAAGGCTTCAACCTCGTCAGCAGCAACGGGTGTCGAGATTTCTTCGACCACATCCGCGGCAACTGGTATTTCAAAGACTTGATCAACAGTGATATCGGCATCTTCCGGCATGGCTTCGGCAGCGACGTTAGTTTCGTCGACAGCAACGGATGCCAAGACTTCGTCAACTGTGGTATCTGCAGCCACCGGTTCCGAGGCAGCATCCTCCACTGGTGCTTCAGAGACTTGATCAGCAATGATGTCGGTCTCGTCAGTAGCAACGGATGCCGAGACCTCATCAACTACAGCATCCACAGCGACGGGTTGAACTTCGGCATCCTCTGCGGAGTCCACCGGTACTTCAGGGACTTGATCAGCAGCGATGTCGGCATCTTCCGGGACGGTTTCGCCAACGATGTTGGTCTCGTCGGCAGCAACGGATGCAGAGACCTCGTCGACTGCATCATCCACAGCGATTGGTTGAACGTCGGCATCCTCTACGGAGTCCGCTGGTACTTCACGGACTTGATCAGTAGTAATATCGGCATCTTCCGGAACGGCTTCGGCAGTAACGGATGTCGAGACTTCGGATACTTCGTCAACTGCCGTCGTCTGTATGTCCGCGGCAGCATCCTCCACTGGCGCTGCAGGGACTTGATCCGCAGTGACGTCGGCATCATCCAGCACGGCTTCAGCAGCGATGCTTGTCTCTTCATCAGCAACTCCTTCGCTCGCTGCCGTCTCTTGAGATACTCCAGGAGCATCGTCAGTGACAGCATCAGCAACGTCAGGTACAGATTCTTGAGCGATCTGCGCTTCCTCAACGACCGAAACCTCCTCGGCGGCGGTAACAAGGTCTTCTTGCTGCACAGCGTCCGACTCGACCTCTGCGACGGCGTCCTCTTGTGTTGCGCTGTCGGCGGTAGTGATGGCATCTTCGCTACTCTCTCCGGCGGGAGGGGGCAAGACGGGTAGATCGGCAGCCTCCAACTCTTCCGAGGTGGGTATTCCGGGGCCCTGAGTCGTAACACTATACGAAGGAGTCCAAGGCGATTTGGGACGATCAATCTCCTGCTCTTGAGGGATAGACAGCTGTAGTACAATCAGTTGGTGTTCGTTCAAGCGTGGTTTAACACACATTGTCCGCAGTTTCAGCAATGGTTTCGTCGGCCCCGGCAGTCTCCCCCGCGGCCACCTCCGTGAGCGAAGCCTCGGCTTCAGCGGCAGGAATATGCTCGCTTTCGACAGACTCTGGTTCTTGGACCGGCTCTGATTCGGTGGGAACAAGAGACACGTCCTGCGCTACTTCCTCAGTAAGATCTTCCGTAGGTGACAGAACTGGGAGGTCGGCAGCTTCCAACTCCTCCGCGCTCGGTATCCCGGGGCCTTGAGTCGTCACGGTATACGAAGGAGTCCAAGGCGATTTGGGGCGATCGATCTCCGGCTCTTGGGGGATTGAAAGCTAGAAAACGATTAATTCTGGCGCGTGGATATGAGTGATAACGCACCTGAAGAGGCTGAGTTTCTGCCGGTTCAGCAACTTCATCAACGTCATCTTCCGCGGCTTCAGTTCCTGCGGTCTCGACTGCTTCAACAACATCTTCGGAGGCTTCCACCCCGGTGGTCTCGACTGTGACAATATCATCCGCCAGCGGCGTCTCGGCGTCAGCAACGGAAGCCTGCGCGCTCTCCTCGGAGACTTCTGGAACAGGAATGGGCGCAACATCCGGCTCCTGAAGCACTTCAGACTCGGTAGTCTCGTCCTGCGTCTCCTCGTCCGCAACAGGGACAATATCTTCGGTAGTGGGAGGCGACAAGACGGGGAGGTTGGCAGCTTCCAACTCCTCTGAGCTTGGTATCTCGGGACCTTGAGTGGTGACGCTATAGGAGGGAGTCCAAGGCGATTTGGGGCGATCGATCTCCGGCTCTTGAGGGATTGAAAGCTAGAAAACGATAAGTTCTGGCGCGTGCACCCGAGTGATAACGCACCTGAAGAGGCTGAGTTTCTGCCGGTTCAGCAACTTCAACAACTTCATCTTCCACCCATTCAACTCCTGCGGTCTCGACTACTTCAGGAACAACATCTTCGAAGGCTTCAACTTCTGTGGTCTCGACTGCAATCTCCTCCGCCAGCGGCGTCTCGGCGTCAGCAACGAAAGCCTGCGCGCTCTCCTCGGAGACTTCTGGAACAGGAATGGGCGCAACATGCGGCTCCTGAAACACTTCTGACTCGGTAGTCTCGTCCTGCGTCTCCTCCGCAACAGGGACAACATCTTCGCTGGTAGTGGGAGGCGACAAGACGGGGAGGTCGGCAGTCTCCAACTCCTCTGAGCTTGGTATCTCAGGACCTTGAGTGGTAACGCTA